CCTATCAGAAACATCTAAATCCTATATCAGAAACATCTAAATCCTATCAGAAACATCTAAATCCTATATCAGAAACATCTAAATCCTATCAGAAACATCTAAATCCTATATCAGAAACATCTAAATCCTATATGAGAAACATCTAAATCCTATATCAGAAACATCTAAATCCCTAACCAGCAACACATTATTCTAAAAATCATAAAATCTAAAAAGTAACATCTAAATCCTATATCAGAAACATCTAAAACTCTGATCTTTAACATCCAACGCTCAGATCAAAAATATCTAAAACTCTCATTACAAACATCTAAATCTCTCATTGGGAACACGCAAATCTTGTATGAGAAACGTACTCAGACGAGTGGAGAGACTCTAAGTTACTCCAACATCCTCTACGGTTTCATTGATATATATATATAAAATTGATATATATATATATACAAATACATGATACACGTAAAAGGAAAGCAAACAGATTCTAGCACTGGGCACCACCAACTTTCCCCCCACGGCCCACCCGCGGGGCACACATGTCCTCTCCCTGGTGAGAAAACGACACAACACACAGACAAACGACACAACACACTGACAAACAAATGTCACAACACATTTTCTTCTTCTTCTCGTCACAAAATGAGATGCACAGATACATGCACGCATGCCTACCATCAAAGGACACTTTCAGTTTGTGAATAGAGATCTACTGTTTTCTACAAAGTACTGATCTAAAAGCAGCAATTTGTAAATGTATATATATATATGTCAAATTAAGAACAAGGCAGTCTCTAGGAACCTCACAAGGTCAAGGTCATCAATGGATCAAATCTAGAACATGTCAAAGTCTATGAATCTCACAAGGTCAAGGTCATGTTCTAAACAAACGAAAAAAACAGCGCGCATGTATCCGTGTGCGTGTCCGTCCATCCGTGCGCGCGCGTGAGTCCGTCCATCCGTGCGTGCGCGTGTGTGAGGGAAGTCAGTCGTCCTCCTTGTCCTTCTGTGGCTTGATGTCGCAAGCGTCGAAGAGCTCGCTGGGCGTGTAGCCGAGGAGGTTCTGAAGGTCACACACGAAGCGGTAGACGTAGCGCTTGCCGGCCGTCTTGTGGATGATGTTCTTGTCGTAATAGTATCTGT